GGGAAACCCGTCTGCTGGAAAACCAACTCCGTGTTCTTTTCTCAGAAAATTTTTCAAGCCACATAGCATAATAGGGCATAGAATTCTCAGTAAAACAAGATATGTTCTGGCTGTTTATAATAATTTTTAACTGGAATCTTTTGCTAATTTTCACGATCTTTGTAGCCATTTCTAAATCGAGTGTACTTGCGTGAAAAATCATTATAAACGGTCAGAACATATCTTGTTTTACTGAGAATTCTATGCCCTATTAGGCTATGTGGCTTGAAAAATTTTCTGAGAAAAGAACACGGAGTTGGTTTTCCAGCAGACGGGTTTCCCAGAAACCCTATTATCAACTTTTCTTATTAAACGACAATATGCACCACATCTAACAGAAAAATGTTCGGGCTAGTCAATACAGTATTTAGATTGATTTCAGCTGTTGCCAAAACATCAGAAAGAAAGGAGTTCTTGTGATAATCACATACAGTACTGCATAGATAATACCTCAACTCTTCTTTTTCATATCTTTAATGGCTGGACCCACCTTTTTGGATGTTCTGATCAGCTCAGTTTATAGAGATTTTCAAGGGCTATCCAATGATTGTGTGTGTGAGATGAACGAACACTTCAGTTTCAGTTTTTCAGTCCGACACTGAAACTAATGCATGTCTAGTAATACTACGAGAAACTGTAATACGAGAGGGAAACGTATCTGATTTACTTTGAACCTTTTGAAAATATACGACGGCTTACTCATCGAACAAATTTGTCTCAATGAGCACACTTTTTCAATTACTGGCAAAAATCGAAGTTCAGATATGTATATAAATTCATAGGGATAGGGACACCGCGACAGCAGTAGTAGAGAGTGGATCCCCTCGCTGCTTTTTGAAACGTTTTATTCCCAAATCCGATAGGTATTTTGCTCTGGAATTGAGCTCAACAATCAGCACTGTCTGCCGTATGTTAATAAAGATAACAGCATACCGAAATGAAGAGGGGAAAACTCCGAGATCTGATTTAATGCTGCATCATGAGCAATCATTGATTACTCATTATAAATACTCTCGGTTCAAGAGTAAACACCAGCATAAATTTTTTTTTACAACAATTCCAACGCTTAAAATTAATTTGAATTAATTTAAAGGATAAGAATATTTCGGATTCATTTGAAATAAATTAATTTAAACGAATTTCCACTATGAAATTTATTTAAATTCAATAAAATCTTTCCTTTATCAGCCAGATGTGTATATTCGATCGAGAAAGAAGCGACCGGAGGTATTTTTTGCACCATGAGTTTTTTTCCAGACCTGCAAGAATAAGGTATAATATACCCGGTTTTTATTTTCCACTACTATTTAAAAGAAATATCAAGTGCTTTCGACTAGTGTTGGAAAGCGAAGAAAAATATATCTGTCGAATTTTGATTATAGTATATTGACTTATCACTGACTTAACATGTTCTGAATGCCAATAATTCGACCAAAAACTACAGTCTCCTGGAGCTCGTATTTGCTTTGAGCTATTTATCAAAGAGAATCATAGCTACTAAGTAATTGGACAGTAATTGTTCGTTAAATTATCGTTTCTTTCTTTTTCAGCTGAATGTTTCTTTTATACGGTTACCGAGAACAATCTCTCTTCGACATCGACATCGACATACAATAAATGAATATTTCGTTTCGAACATAAACCTTTTTCGAAAAATAGAAGTGCAGATAAGAAAATGCAAATATGTTCTCATTTCTAGACCTTCGCTCGCCTCCCGACTTGCATGTTCTCATACTGGAAGTTCAGACTGTTTAAAACGAATAAAAGTTTTTTATGCTAGTTTTCTTCTATCAGTAAGAAACTCGCTACGTTAAAGGGCAAACATTCACTTAAGATCTACCTTAAAAGGTATTTGACAATGGCATTTTCAGTCATTGGCTCGTAGCATGTAGACTACAAGAGACTAGCTTTCACCGGCACTACGTATCGCTGATTAAATAGTTGGTCATATGAATTGAAAATTTTCTCAAAAACCGAAAACGGTCAGCATACGGTTCTGTGATAAAAACTGTAACCTCGTAGTAAAATAGTACACATTTTCTAAAGTACACATGCATGTATTTAACAGGATGCTATTGCGAACAGGATGATTATGCTAAACTTTTTACGATATCGGATTGTTAATCAAAACTAAAATCAAATTTGTTAATAGAACTTTATTTAAACTAATTTACAAATAGAAATTAATAGAAATTAATTTTGTTTGAAGCACTTCAAACAAATTTGAGACTAAAAATTAAATTAAACTGATTTCTAGTACCAAGTTAATGTATATTATTTTTCTTTAAGTCAATCTAAATGGACTTTTTGTTCGAACTTCATTTAGATCAACTTTCAATCAAAAATTAGTTAAAAAAATGTGTTTTTTCCGTGCTAAAGTTATGGTCACTTTTTTAAATGTAGTGTTTGGCTTAGAGAATGAAAAAAAACAGAATAGCTACCTACACTATCTGCATGGACACTTTTGAATCTTCATTCTTTATATACTTTTTATAAAGTTACTTTATTTTTTAAAAGAAAAAGCCACTAAACACATAAGAATATTAAACCAAATTATTAGGTTTTTATTTAAAAAACCACTATTGTCTTTACGATGCTTTACTCGTGTCAACAGAAGTCGAGTCCATCAATTAACAATTATTCATCTGGAATCATGTTGGACCCATCGAAAATTTTGCCATAGCACGGCGACGTCTTATCAGCGAAATGAGGATGAGCTGCAAGATACACAGAAATCATTAAGATAAAGTTACATTTTCCATTCATTCTCGCAGACTTACCATCTCTTGGAGCCGTAAATCCACATAACCAACAGAATCCAATTCCACAATTACATCTCATTGCATTGCATCCATCTGTTTTTTCAATGTACGCTTTACATGAGGGACACGGTTTATAACCATGAGTTTCTAAAAATAATAAATAAAAAACCAAAAGGCTTTGTCTGCAAACACACTGGGTAGGTAGATCTTACCCATAGCTTCCTTTGATAGCCTATTTTCTTCTTCTCTCTTTTTTAGCATTTCTTGATATGATTCACATGTTACACCCGTATGATATTCAACCTTACATTTAACGCAATACATTTTTGAACAACCATCACAAACATAAGAATCTGGATGTTTAGATTCACGGTAGATCTGTGTAACATCAAAACAAACTCCAAAAAATTACGATGGGTTAGCGAGGAAAGGCAAAACTAGCCCTACCTGATTGCAATCGTCTCCTATGCATCGCAACATATCTTTATCAGTTTTCAAAAATGCTTGAAATGATGCGCGTGCTAGTTTAGAAAGATTTGTAGCACCCAATATCGTTTTAATATCACGTATTAATAATAGAGAATTACATTTGTCAACCACACACGTAATTTTTAATTTTTCATTACCTAGTGAGGTATCAAATTTTGTTGATAAATATTGTATTAGACAATCACGGCAGTATGGATGGCCACAACCTTGTAAGCAATAGTTTGCATCATTCATACAGATGACACATTCTGGTACTGTACTATTTCCCTTATTTGACGTCGGCAGAATTAATTTTGGCATGGTTTTCCAATTCTCTTTTATCTTCTCTTCACACTGTATGACTTTCATTTTTTCACCAGTAATTCGCATTTGATGTTTAACGACAATAATTTCGATTTCAACCTCAAGTTCATTTTCAAATTCCTTATGAATCTTACCCATTTTCAATACTTGACGTATGCAACCTGCGGGTGTAAAAATATAAAGACAAATATTTTAATCTTAATTTTATTAAGGTAAACAGACGCTCGTAACGCTAAAGCATTTTTGCTTTCAAAAACATTGTGTCCTTTTCTTAAAAATTACAAGCGGTCTAACATTTTTAAACCAAAATTTAGCGAATCCACTCACCGTCAGGAATATTTAATATCGCTTCAAATCTTTTAGCCAGAATCTCATTAATATAATCGTCTATTTGCTTCACAGTATCTCTGCAAGCTTGATCACTGCCATAAATACGAACAAATGATTTTGAATAACACCACCAGATATAGGATCCAGTTTTATCTTGAATACGCTGTAATTCCTGAGTTCCTTTACGATTCAAAATAACCTGCTGAAGAGAAAGTTGAAAGTATTAACTGACGATTATATCTAAAACAGATCTGTCTACAACTTACTTTAATCAAATCATCATGAAATTCATATTCAATACCTTTCATAATCTTATCAAATTCAATCTTAGCCATTGTTATTTGCTGAATATCATTACCATCGATATAAATCTTAGTTGATTGATTCGTTTTATCTGTCTTTGTAATTCCTCCTCGTTTTATATGTACACGTTTAAATTTATCTTTTATGCGACTGATTGCAGTTTCAATCTTATCTGGTATTGCTTTTGCTAATGCTGCATTAATATAAATTTCATGGGCCATCGATGGAACAAAATGTATTTGAGTTGCACCTTCAAATAGGGTAATACTGGTGTTCGCATAGATTTGAACAGCTTTCGTAACATCAACTGGATCATTGAATAAGATAAGTGCAGACATTGTACCGTCAGGCGTTACTGGATGTAACTGAATTTCTGGTTCATACCGAAACATCTGATTTCTACTGTGAAATATAGATTTCAATTTCATTAATCCCATTTGAGTGTCCTCTTCAGTAAACTGCTGATTTGCTTGTAATTTTTGACGATAAACTAGAATTATTTTAACATAATCATATAACTGATGATCTTTTAGTATTTGACTCAAATCATATTGATCAACTAATGGACCTAAATTTTGCAGTTTAATACTATATTCATCAGCATTTCGTTTCTTTGTCATTTGTTGCTGTTGCGTCCGTACTTTTTCCGATAATCTCACCTTCCCCTGACCAATATAACCCTTTTTTCCATTTATTTGTTCAACAGCATCCAGTAAATCCCTTTGATCTGTAAAATGTGCATAGGCCTCAATTTTCCCATTAAATATTCTTGGATTAAATGAAATGGAATCACGTTGAAATGAAGGATAACAATTAAAAACTGATTTTATTTGATCTTCAGCATCCGACGGTCTTCTAAACTTTGAACCACGAGATCCTCGAAGCAATTGTACATCGTCTTGTACACCTTCACAGTACTGAAAATATTCTCGAAGATCTTCTTCATCCACATCCGAAGGTAAATTACGGACGATAACTGATGAAGCGCCACCGTTTCGTTGTTTTTCTCGAGCCATCGAACAATGTATTCTATGACCACTTGATAGCTGCCTCATATGCATCCGCAAACAGGCAGTATTGGCTTCATAAGCCGTGCGGAACTTTACGTAACCTTGACCACAATTGTTTGCAAGATAATAAACAATTTTCATAGTTGGTAAATTCAGTGAGGTTTCGTACTGACAATCGTATCCCAAATCTTGAAGTAACTGGTAGACTTTACGTGCATTATCATCATTGGTAAAAATAATTTTTCCATTACATTCCGATGGCGTTAAATACCAAATTGCTTTCAGACGACAATTTTGTGTACCAGTATGAGCTTCGGTTTTTAAACATGCACTGCTGACAGTTATATCCCGACCACCGATAAATTTACCATTGAGTTCAGCAAATGCTTTACGTGCTCCGGTCGTACTAAAATATGTGACTGTACCACAGACTCCATCTTGATTTTGTTGCATGAACGAAATGTTGCGAACTAGAAAATGAAGAATTTAGTTCAGTACTATCAGTTAATGTTTGCGCGCAGTTAAAAGGGAAAATCTTACTTTTTCCATACGGTTTACATGCAGTTTGTATTTGTTCCTCTGTCACTGTTCGCGGTAGCTTTTTAATGATAATTCGTACAAATTCATCTTCTACTAAAACCATTTCGCTCAAACCACCCGCTCCCATTACAATACGTGTTGACCCTACAATTTGTATTTCTTCAGCTTCAATAATCAGTTTCTCTTTCTCCTTGTCTATCATGTACCGTACAATTCTTTTAGCGTTTTCCAGTTTTAATGGTCGACCCCACACAGTCAGCGTCATTTGATTGTAATCAAAATCAATCATTCCTTCAATTGACTGTTCAATCATATTTATGTTGCAATTACGTTTACCAACAACAGCTCGTAGTAAAGTAGAACCAATATTTGTGAATGTATAGCTTTGATATGCTATACTGTGAAGATTACTGATGTTGCAGGCTTTGTACCATTGTTGCGGAACTGATTGAAGCCATTTCTCGTCAATTGCACATAACGTTGATATATAATTAGTTCCATTTAAATTGATCAGTTCATTGTATAAAACGAACTGTGGTATTTGATGATTTGTATACAGAGCTGATGTACGAAAGACTCGTGCAGTAATCGGTTCCGAGGATACAGAAGAAATAACTTGATATCCGGCACGTAATGGACCATTTGAAATCGCTAAATTTGTAAAGTAACCAGCAGTAATACACAGAAGAAGTTGATTGATTAGTTCTGGATTTACGTCTTCCACAACCTCAGTCTTCGGCATTTCGAATTTCATTTGTCTGGAAATATCACCTATAAAATTATCTGCTCTTTTCATTTGCTTCGCCATAATATTACGGTCTTTACACCATTGATTTCTATGATTTTTAGAAACTGAATTCCATTTTAAATAGACACGTAATAATGTAATATGATCACCGGATTCATGACTGAACTCCGCTCGTGATTCAGCAGCTGACTGTCTTGCTTTCTCATCTTTTCCTGTCCACCATAAACTTTGTGATACACTTAACATACCAGCTATAATTAGTACATGCGGTAAACAATTTAATTCCTGACCTTTGAATAGCATTGCAGCTAATTTTGGATCAACAGCTAATTTAGCCATTCGACGACCAACTTCAGTTAATTTACCGCTCTTAGGATCAATGGCATTTAACCATTCTAATGTTGTATGTGCTTCCGTAATACTGGCCAATGATGGTGACTCAAGCCATTCAAATGTCTTGGCATCATCAATACCCAAATTTTTTAATTTTAAAATAGCCATGGTGGGTTGAGTACACAAGATTTCTGCACGCGGACATGTATCTAAGGACTCGTATGTTTCCAACGTGTACAAATGGTAGCACTAAAACGCAAGTTCAGAAACATTTCTTCGTCAATTGATTAATGATCGTCGAACTATTTTTTATACCACTCCAAGTAGTTCTCGCAATCAGAGTTCACTTTACTTTACCTTCCCTGACGATGTTCTTCCAGCTCTTCCACGGCGTTGTTTGACGGAACTCTTTGTAATTTGTCCAACTTTTAACACTTGCATTTTTCGCTTATCATCCCACATTGTTTCTTTAACCATTCCAGATTCTATTACGTGTTGTATCCCATCGATTGTAATCGATGTTTCAGCAACATTAGTACTAAAGATGATTTTTCTTTTATTAGGAATTTTTTCAAAGACTTTTGCACTGTCTTCTTGTGCTAGTTTTCCATGTAATGATAAGGCAATGAAGTTTTGAACATTTGATAATTTTTTTTGTATCTCCTCTATAGCTAAATCAATTTCATCGGGTCCAGTTAAAAATGTGAGTATATCACCGACTTCACTACTCTGATGTATTTCAATAGCTTTTGCTACAGCTGCTTGAACGTAGTTTTCAACATCTTCGTCAAGATACTGATCTTCTATTGGAAATGTTCGTCCGCCGATTTCTAATGTGCCACATGAAAACTCGGGTGAAAAATAATTTTTTAACAATTTCATATCCAGTGTTGCTGACATGACGATTAGCTAAAATAAAAGCATACATTTCGTAGATGAATTGAAATCTACGGCTGCATGAAATGATCTTGCTGCAAACTCGGTTTCTGGTGGCGGTGGGGGAATAAATGAAAGGCAAGTCGAGATAACTTCGCTTTATTTTCTTACTTAAGTTACCTTTAAATCCTTCCGCTTTCTTAAACATTGCTTCATAATACCAAACACAAGATCCGTATCGATTTTTCGTTCATGTGCTTCGTCAATGACAACAATTGAATAGTTTTTTAACATTGGATCCTTTTGATATTCATTTAAAAATAGTGTATCTGTGACAAATTTAATTTTTGTAATATTATCATTCGTCCGTCTGCATCTGTCACCACCTACATGAAAATCCACCTATGGCGACAAAGTAACATGTAAAAGCGAGGTAGTAGCTGAGTTATAATTGCTTAGCTTACTTCCTCGCCAACTTTACAACCGTATTCTTCTGCTACTCTTGCAGCTAACATTCGTGCAGCAAGTTTTCGTGGTTGTGTACAAATAATTTGACCTAGAATAGAAAGGAAAAGAAAAGTATTTAAATTTCTTAATTTTATATTTGCTAAGTAAGTTATACATTACCATTATGTGTTAAATCTGCATCACATAAATATTGCATTGTCTGTGTAGATTTTCCAGAACCTGTATCAGCTTTTAAAATTAAAACTTGATTTTGTTTAACTTGTCCAATAATTTCCGTACGTTTAGCATAGATTGGCAAATGTAGTTTTAAACGTTTTACCTCACGTACTAGATGCATGTGTATACGTTTCAGTTCAAATAATAAAAGTTCAGAATCAATTCCTTCTGATCCCATTAGTTCAGAAAACTCTGTAGAGAGGTTGTCTGCAGTTGTACTGAATTCAATTTCCTGCAATTCTAATTCTCCAAGTACTGAGTTTTGTTCATCTATGTCAGACATCAACAAAGTGTCAGTCGATCGAATATCGTCATCGTCACCGCTATCGTTCTCTGGAATATTTTCTTGTTCTTTTGTCATTAACAAACGATGGTCCAATTGAAGTATGGGTATTTCATCATTTATTAGATTTTCTATCGATTTAATTAGCTCAGATTCCGACAGTCCTGTTCTTTTTCTCGATGTTCGATCTGAGGGTTGATCAAGTTCTCGGTTAGTACTTGAAAAACGGCATGGAGCGGACGGTTTGAATATTCGTGACTTAGACTGAGAGCTTGAATCACGAGGCGAACGATGTGTCAAAGCAGAACTTCTGGTTCTATGATTTAAACAAAAAGAACTTCTCCTTTCTCCGGAATTCTGCTGATTAATAGGTGAGCCTGTTATTTGTTGGTGAAACATCGGATGTGTAGAATAAAAGCTGTTTCTTGGATCAATCCATTGTGGGTAAACTTCCAGGGGTTGTAATGGAGGTCTTATAATTACAGGAGTACATGTGGAAGGACGACGGTGCTCATATGGCATTGCTGCTTCAAGCCGGGGACTGCTTGAATCACGTGAAGTGTGATGCATAAAAATATCTGTTCTAACTGGTAGTCGTTGTCTTCCTGATGTTGTATTCATTGATCGATCAATTTCTCTTCCACTTGGATGAATGAACCAGCAGTCTTCACGTGTACATTTAACGCCGTAAGTACAATCATCGAACTCGTCTTGTGATCTTATGGGTGCTCCTTTTGTCAGCGTCAGATGTGTAAAAGTGCATTTTTTTGTTTTGCATTTTTCTCCATACATGCAATGCTTCGAATTAATGCCGGGTCTTCGAACTGGTACTTGAGGAGATGATGCCGATGCATTATCTCGGAGATGTACAAAGTTACATTCGGTGTTCGTACATTTATCTCCATAGTAACAATAGATACACGACATTTAGTGATCGTTACTGTTATTAAAACATCTATAAACATAAATTACAGTTTTTCTAGTGCAACTCATAATAGTCATCACTGTAGATTAAACCATAAAAGACGAATGGCAACTGTGATCGTGTTTGTTGCTGATTTTACAACTTTTATTTTTAAACACACTTATCCAACGCTTCCAATGAACAGAAAAAACACACTTATATATATACGAAGAGAAGAGAGTGGAAAAAGAAAGGTTTCCTTTTATGAACAACGAAAGAAAATAGACTATCTCCCTTGAATAGTGAAAACAAGCTGAAAATATTTCACTTGAATCGAATGATATCTTTGTTGAATACAATGAAAGTGAAAAGAGTAATGATGCAAGAGAGAGAAGTGAAAGAATACATTATAACCTAACAGCAACGTTACCGCTTCTCCTTTTAGACAATTAAACCCGCAGCGCAAAAAAATATCCAACTACACTGTAATTTGGAATTAATTTCTAATTTATAGAAAATCGATCTGGAAAATTGCGGAGCTTTTTCTGATGTTTATAAAATGCTCATAGATTTTCTGACTTTTTAGAAATTCGCGATTTTCTATTTTATAGAAAATCAATTCTATTTTCTATAAATTGACTTTTCATTTTATTCAGAAAATCGCCATAGAATTTTCAAAAATATGAAAGTTCGGCGTTGATTTTATAAATACTGGAAATTCGAGTTTGATTTTCTAATATTCTAGAAAATCGATCGATTTCCTATAAATAACTCCCAAGATTCTTGAAATTCGAATTTTACACATATTGATATTCTTTGTCGTACTATGGGCATTTCCATTGGTAGTATACCACACTTTACATGAAGGTGTGGTGCATATGTGGAGATATATCTCATTCGATAGAGAATTCAATTCTCAACAAGAATATCGTAGTTAAAAGTTTTGTAAAGTTTGACGCGGAGTCTAAGCAAAGTCCAACATTTTTGGTTTTCTGGCAAACCTCAGGGTTTCAAAATCCTATAAGTTTCTTTTTGAATCATATCATCGAATAGAGCGTTTTTTCTCCAGAAAATGAGGTATTTTGAGGCTTCCAGTTTAAGGAATGAGTTAGTTACAAGCAGTTGAAAATTACAATACGAAAAATCTATGTTCTCAAAAACTCACAGGTTTTTTTTATGTAAATAGCCTTTCCGCGCGTTTTTATTGACATTCGCTAACAAAGAAGATTGGAAGCCGCAAAAATACCTCATTTTATGGAGTAAAAAACGCTCTATCCGGTAATATGATTCAAAAAGGAACTTATAGGATTTTGAAACCCTTAGGTTTGCCAGGAAATCAAAAAATGTTGAACTTTGCTTAGAGCTCGCGTCAACGTTTAAAAAACTTTTAAGTACGATATTCTTGTTTCAGAATTGAATTCTCTATCGAATGAGGTATATCTCCACGTATGCGCCACACCATCGTGTGATGATGGTATACCGCCCATGGAAATACCTATATTATAGAGGGTCTAACTTTGAATTTTATTGGTCTACTAGATGCACAAATGAATAAATTATACTTGTTGTTGTCTCTATCACCATTTTTGTTTTGCAGCGCCCATAGATATATATATATAATCTGCACTGTACAAAAGTTGAGGATTCTTCAAGTTACAATATGGTGTGGCGCATACGTAGAGATATAAGGTCATTGCATTGCGTGCACCTTACTTCATTCGATAGAGAATTTAATTCTCAACAAGAATATCATATTTAAAAGATATGTATGCCGTATATTTTACCGTGCCGTTACATATATAAAAGTACCAAATTTTTTGCAGAAGATTTTTCCAACTTTTAACTAGGCATACAAAAATTTAGATTTTAATCTATTTGATTCTTCAATCGTTGTTAACAAATCAAAATCCCATGCTGGATAATCAAATTTCATTTCAAAGCATTTCTTCCTCCTACCCCCACAGTGGGCATCCAAGCGGGCATTAGACGAAAAAGTCGATTTGTTCTTCTTCCAAATATAAATAGTGTAAAATGTAGCCCTTTGAATTCTCTATCGAATGGTGTATGAATGTCTATTTTGATGTTCACTCCTAAGTGGAGAAAGAAGGACACGAAAACTGCAATACGAATATCGAA